TGTCTTGGTTCTGCGTGCACTGCAGGCTCTTGCTCTGCAACGCGGTGTGCGCATTCCGACGGTACTCATTGCGCGATGGTGCACCTGACCTACCCACGTCTCTTGACTTGCAAAGGCGGATGCCGAAGTCAGTGTTCACCCAAGTTCTCTCTCTCTCTCTCTCGCTCTCTCTTTTTCTCTCCCTCCCTCCAAGAATGTGCCCGAAGCTATGAGTGCCGCATAGTGCCGCCCAAGAGACGCACATGCGTTGCGGATCCGTCCGTCAAGCTTGGGAACTTCCCCGGTCCCCGGTTATACACGCTGAGGACAGCAGCGGCTTCCCTTAGCATCTTGTCCGCAAGTGCAGCCGAAGGCCAATGAGGCCGATGAGCCATTTCTGTCAGTTCCCTGGGCAGGAGAAAGTGAAAATTCCTGCGGAGGCCCGCGGAGAGATCATTCGACGGGCGTCGTGTCGGTCACTAGACGCTCTTAAGGCTTGTTGGGACGAAGCATGCATGCTGTCACGCCTTGGAGGTTTCGGGGTAAGGAAGTGGATCTTGACCACGTCTTGATACTCCCTATAGCAACATTGAGAAGTCCTTTCACCAATCGGCATGCCAGGCCAAAGCATGGCAAGACCGCCCCAACGAGGCCGTCAGAGACCTGTAATGGTTCCGCTACAGCGACACACGCACGCACCCACACACACACACACTCTCTCTCTCGCACGTGTACACATACATACATGCATACATACGTATGTGTATATATATATATATATGTATATATAATATATATATATATATTATACATATATATATATATAGAGAGAGAGAGACAGCAGATTGCTATGGGGCCTTGGTTTTTGCAGACCAGTTTTACATTCTAAAAGCCTCAATCGCTTGAAAGGTACACGCAGCTTTACACCACAAAGTACCTCACACTTCGATTCCTGAGTAGTGTATTCAAGGTCAGGTTTAACCTGTGCATATTCAGACGCCAACGGGTACCACACCGCGGTATTGATCGGCTACGTAATCAAAATTTTGCCATGACAACTATCACAGACACTAAACACCCGGTAAACACCGTGTAATTCTTGGCTTTATAAAACCAAGTCTTGGGGTAGGCCACATAGACTCGACACGTCCCTCACGCTCACGGTATATCTTACTTATACCTGCAAGACTTTTCATCCTATCAAGCCAACCCACGCAACACCAGAACTCAGGCATCATCTGGGATGCAATGTTTGGTTCTTGGAGAACATGTACGTACTGAATTAGCGGCTAATTAGCGTACTTGTTTGGCAAAGTGATGCAAAGTGCAGGATTCGAAGTAGGTGTTTAGATCAGTGCTTTGTTACTGCATGTCAACGAATATGATTGAGTTCAATATTCTTATTAGCATGCAGAAACCCACACACGCACACACAACCACTCGAAACGTGCAAAACCACTGCGCGTAGTGGGTTGCAAAAACGCAGGCCCCACGGCCTCCTCTTCTGTGTATATGTATTATATATATACACACACACACATATACATACATACACAAAGATAGGCAGACAGACAGACAACATCAAACTCGTTTTTTTTTCGAGTACATCAGATCCGCAAGACGGAACCTCTGAAAGGGTTGCAGAAGACCCATCAGTTGCTTGGTTAACTGCCCAAAACCCCAAAACCACCGAGCCCTGTTCGCATCGCCAGGCCTCCTTATGGACCTTGGGCGGTCCGAAAGCGCCGCCTGCGCCGCCCGAGTCGGCTTAGAAAAGTTCTCTTTCCAGCTCCGCTTTGTCCATAAGCAGCAGTTTCGGCCCTGAAAGCTCGGCGCCATCGCTGCATCCAGGCAACCACTGAAGTGCGCTCCGAAGAAGGCTCGAGCCGGGTGTGTGAAAAGGCGGCCGGTCTGCAGGAGGCTTTCAACCGGTCCCGTAGGAGAGGAGACGCTGCCGCACGACTGGGCGATCATACGCCCTGCAGTTAGGCAACTGCCGCCACAAATGCACGGTGCATTTTTGGCCATGTGCACCTAGCTTTGCCCGTGTACGATTCCACGATGGAACGAGCATGCACCTTCGTCTTTGTAAGATTGATTGAAGGGGTCATCAGACATGCGGGGCCTCCGAAAAATGGTGGGGGCGGCCTCCGGTGCAGCAGACCTCCCACAGACTGTCTCCAGCAAACGTTGCGAGAAGCTGCCGAAGTCTTTGCCAGAGGGAGATCGAACGCCGCACTCCGGAGGCTGTCCCGGCAGCTCCCTGGGCGACGAACGCGGAGGCCAAGAAGGCTTCTGCCGCGCCTCCGGCAGCCAAAGAGGCAGGGCCATGCTGCCTCTAGTATACGTAGAACTTCAGCCTTCCGTTCCTGCAGAGGCCACCGCGGCCAAGGCGGCGGCGCCTCCTGGGCTTGCCCTCTGGTTACAATTAACGCGGCCAGGTGGAGAAGTGTTGCGAGATGCGTATGGCCGAGTTGCTTGGAGAGTACTCCAGCACAAGACCCACTCAGCAAAGTCTCTCGCGACAAAATCTTCTTCTTCATCAGCAAACCGTCATGGTAGGGTGAATTCCGTGTCAAACGTACAGCCTAGTCGTATGTTGGTTGGGCCCTCTTTCGCAGCCTTGCAACAGTTCAGAAAATCGCTTTCCGGACTAGCACTGTTTCAACAGGTTAGAGTCTAAGACAAGCCCGGCCCTTTTGGCGAGGAGAGCCCCTGGGATCCGATGCGCGACGCTGCCAGTGAAGTCGATTTGCCTGCGCTGGGCAGATCAATGCTGCTAGTCCACGCCTTTGGGCTGCAGGGAGGGCATGGCGACTTGAAGCGACGTGTCGCGCGCAAGTCAAGCCCTTTGCATTCCCGAAGACTTGCTGCGACCTGTTTCAGCAAAGCGTGGAGCTTTTGGGCGTCATTGAGTTGAGTTGACGACGCAGCACCGTCGAAGTCGCCCGAGGTTGGAGCCCCGGGTCTCCAAGCCCCCGGCATCAATGTCGAGCCGCTCTCGAAGCTTTTCTGCACCGCCATTATACGCACTGCGTTGCAGTGCAGCTCCTTGGGGATGGACCTTTGGCATGCTCAAGTCGCCACGGTGTACTGTTTGCACCTCTTAATGTCGGGCCAGTGTTCAAAGCTGCGAAAACTGAATCTTTCAATTCCGAACCCTGCACGCGGTGTACCGGAAGTGCCCGTTCCAAACATAGCTTCGGTCTTTAGCTTAGTCCCATTTGTTTCTTGCCATGGTGGCGGAGTCTCCTAGTCCGGTGCTGGCATCCTTAGGTCGTTTTTGTCCCAATGCAGAAGCGCATCCGTAGAACACAAGCTGCTCCAGAACACCAGCCGAGGAAGCATCCTCCAGAGGCGGCTCCGAAGCATGCCTGGCAGACTGCCGACATCCAGCATCCACCCAGCCTCCTGGCCTGCACATCAGTGCACACAGATCGACCCGTTACCCCAGTCGCACAACTTGAAGTCCTGCAACCTATATCGAACAAGCCTTTGGTCCCGGCACCATCCAGGCGTCGTAGCTCAGAGCTCTCTAGTCAGAGGGCTTTGCCTACTTTCAACTCGAAGCCAAGCCTTCAGCAAATCGCATTACTATAGGCGTTAGTAGCAATGCTTGTTCAGACCCTACACAAACAGCGGAGGATGTTTCGTGACCCTACAAAACCAAATACTACCCTAACATCCCTATGCGATCTGGACCGCAAGCCGCCAGCCCCCAACCACAAACAGTCAACCCTAAACATCCCTACGTACTAACCCGTAACCCACAATAAGCCACAAAAGAAGAAGACCTGAACCGTGTATTGCTATACCCCTATAAACCACAAACGGCAAATTAAAGAGTGCTGCTAGTTCAAGCTACGCTTCCACCCATGCCCGTCCGCCCAAGAACGGGACCGAGGCAAAGCGCCTCCAGTCATAAGCAAGACATCAAGTGAGGACAAGGACTCCGGACCGAAGCGCTTTAGAGAGCTTCCAGGGCTATTCGGGGTTAAGGAGTGGGGTTCGGCAGCTCGGCGTGGACTGTTCTCGGTTTGGCAAAGCCTAGCAGGGCCTAGCAGAACCTAAACCTGTGTCGGGTTTTCCCGCTACTTTTTCGTTTGTGCGGTGGCATACGTCCGATGGCTGATTTTGGCTGTGGTCGGGCGGGTGAGATTGAACTGAAGGGTGGTCCCCCCCGTCTGACGATGAGGAGGACATGATCCCAGCACAAGCCACACACCAGCGACGAGCTCTCTTGCCAACAAGATATCAACATGTTCCGAGATCTTCCGAGACCTCGCGAGATTGGCTGGATGAGCCTGTGTTTCTTTCATGAGTGCAGGAGCCAAAGGCAGCGGTGGCCAATTCACCTGGTCCAAAAGTGGTTTCGAAGGCTCCGCCGAGACTTGGTCTGCAATGATGATGCACCCCAGAGGGTCCATATACACTACCATTATGGAATTAGGTCCCAAAAAACCATCCCTAGTATGGTTTTGGGGACCTAATTCCATACTAGTACTATATGTGGACCCTCTTGGCACACTGAGCATGCCTCGAGCCTCGAGCGGGCCAGCAGGTGTGCTGCAGTGAGTCACTCAGGAAAGGGCCGACTCCCACTTTGAAGCCGCTTGGCATCGAACGGGGCGGATTCAGTTTTCAAGCAAGCTGCCCCAATAATCTGATCGCTGTTTGGCACGTCAGGTCTCCTCCCGCAAAGGACCGCGGCGTGGAAAGGCTCGGAGCGGTGGGCATAATACGGCTTGGAGCGCGGCTGTACACTGTGCCTTGCAGGTCCAGCGAAGCGCTGGTCCCACCACCGTGGGCGAAGCTCCCAGGGACCCAGGCTTGGGCTCACGGGTTTTGAGAGAGCGAGAGCTGGTGGTGTTTTGTCCGGTTCAGGGCCGCAGAGTTTACGGATTGAAATTCGCACAGGCCTCCACGACGAAGCTCAAGCCCCATTGCGAAACTGCTAAACCCTTTGAAAGTCTGTTGCAGCTCCCAAATCACAGGCGCCGGTGGCAGCGTCCCCGCCGAAGATGAAGCCTCCGCCTCCGAAACCGTTGCATGCCGGCCCTCCTCGGCAGGTACCTCCGAAAAAAAATCAGTTGTCCTGCACGGCTCACGGAGTCAACCCGCCGTCTTCCAGCAACAGAGCATGACCGGACGTGGGTCGATCGAATGGCGTTTCTGAGGCACCGCCGCCACAACCACCGCCCCCTCAGCCGAACTTCGAGAAGGCTCTGATTTTGAGCCCCAAACCAGAGTAAAGAGGATTCCCAAGCCGGCACCAGGCAGAAGTGGAGGAGCCCGGCGTCTGGGTCAAAGGGGACTGCCTGCTCCTCCCGGCGGCGCCGATGGCCTTGACCCTTGGCTGGTCTTGGGAGTGCAAGCGTTGAGATTCCTATCTTCTGTGCTGGATGATCGTGGTTCGCCTTCACAAATTGCAGATAACTGCAGCCTGACTTTCACATTCCCTCCGCAGCCCTGAACACGAGAAGACTTTCTCAGAGTGCACGGCAAGCCTTCACGAGGCAGGAGAATGCAGAGCCCAGCACGAGCGCGAGCTCCTGGGCCTGGGATGTTTTGATCAGCCGGGCTTCCAGAAGTCCTCTGATGTGTTTCCATGGATGTGGCTCAGGGGGCTCAGGCTGCAGCACAGCACATGCCCTAAAGACCCAGATGTGCCTTGTATTTGCAGCACCGAGTAGTCTGGTCATTCTTTCCTGGATAGCTTCATGCATTGTTTACTCCTCGCTGCTTGCTCGTCAGCGCCTTTTCACAAGGCTCTGAGTCGGCTGCGCAGCGTCCCGTGCTCCTTTGGCCGTCTTCCCAGCGACCCCGGCCTGGTCCAGGCCGCTAAAAGTCTCACCCGATATTTTCGGACCGTCTTGGCACCAGCCTGGAAGCGCTCGTGCTTTCTCCGGAGCCGGAGCCTCTGTCGCTTCTGAGCATCCAGGCATCCATGCGGGTGCCGCAATGGCGATTTCCCTGCTGAGCAGCGGCGGCTTGGCCGAGAAGCTAAAACTTCCAACCATGGAGTCGTGAATGTAGCCGAGGGGGACGGATCTTCAACGAGGACCCAAGAGAGGACCCAAGATTTCCGCGTCCAGCGCCTCCCGCCGCTGGCCTTGACAAGAGGCTTGTAGTGGGCGCGTCGCCCGGGCCAGCCGTGCAATGGCGCCACAGAGAAGTCGCAGTTTGCCGATGCCTGGCCGACCGCTTTGGTTGGATCCGCTTCTAGGTCCTAGGTATTTGCACGGCAGCTGAAAATCTGGTCCCATGTCCGGGTGACTCCTGATGACGGTCTCCATGAGCCTCGCGCAGTCCAGCTTTAACCTGAACGGGCCAAGAAGTCCTTTGTGGATTTTTGCGTGTCCCGCGCTGTCTTACCTCCACAGTTCGTGGACGTTCTTGACATACCATTCTGCAGACCTGCCGAGGTGAGGACGCTTGCAGAGCCGCTTGGCCGGTTCGGGAAACTTGAGCTCAGCAGCGTTGCGAAGGTGAAGATGGCTTCGGCCAGGGTCGCACATTCAGCAACAGCAAGCATATGTGTCCTTCAAAGCGAGCATTACCTCACGCACACTAGAACCCCCGCGCCGTGTGGTCCAATTTCCAATCCTCTTGTAGCCGGAAACGTTATGCCAGAGCTCCCTCAAAGCGAGCCGAAGCGCCGAAGCAGAACCTCTAAGACGCAGCCTCCGACCTGAGCGGAGGACTTCCTGAAACCCAGAAAAATAAGCCTGGAGCGTGAGGGAAGCCGTCGTGGGGTCCGTCGAGGAGCTTTTCGCTGAGCTACACGGCGCTTCGGGAGTCTTTCAGGTTTTGTGACCTTGTTTCGGACTTGCAGGCGGCGATGTGAAAGAGGTACGAGCATCAGTTCCAGGATGCAACACTTCAGCGACTGAAAACTTCCTGAAGCAACCGCCGCTCAGGTTTCGCGGCACGAAGGAGCAGTTCCGCAAACTCGTGGAGACCCGGCAGAGCTAGGAGCTCCCAAGAATCACAAGAAGCGAGACAGGTTCGTGAGGCTCAGGCAGTTCGAGTTTCTTTCGATGTGCGAGTCGTGAAGCAACGAGAGCTGGTGCCGCCGCGAGCTTCGTTTTGCCCATCACCGGTGGAACCTGCGAAGTGGCGAGGCACTTAAGTTGCCGTAGACTGCGATGTGCCCTGACCACAAGCTCCGCAGAAGAGGTTTCGGGGTGCCGATGTGTTACTCGCGACTGCAAAGCCCTTTATTAACGAAATTCAGGGTGGACTAGGCTCACGTGTGGTATCTGGTCCCGGCCGTCCGCTGCACATGTGAATGTTCTGCGAGCCAAGGAGGTGGCTTTGGAGCGCTGCGCCGTCACTGACAGTTCCAATCCGTGAGCCTGAAAGGGTGTCGGGTGAAGCGATGCTGAGGCTTCAAAGGACTTAGGGGTACTTAGAAATAATTTTTAATCATTGGCTACTCTAAACCCTAAGAAGCAGCTAAAATTATAATTTTTGCTAGGGGTCTAAGTTCAGTATGGAGGAGCCCAAGCAGAATAAGAGCTTTCGTGGAATTTGACGACACTTCTGCCGTCTCGGAGGGGACACCGCGGGGCCGGGCGGCATGTGTTTGCTGCATAGTCCCGCAGATGTCTCCCGACTGTTTAGATTCTCCCTATAGTCTCCATTGTAGTTCCTTTTTGGGGTTACCTTATAGGATCCTTAATATAATATTGGTTAAACCAAAAAAAGGAACTACAATGGAGACTATAGGTCGATCCCGGGTCGGTGGCATTGACGAGCTGTGGAAGCAAAACATCCCTGCGGAACTTGTCGGGTAGCTTCGGCTTGCTCTCCGATGTACACCTGTTTCAGGATGCTGCTCGCAGCTGCAAAGCATGTCAATTGGTCACCGAGATGAAATCACAGGCCCTGAGCCTGAAACGCCTAGTCCACCGATCCAGGCTGGACTCGCAGCGTAGGTGTGCTCCTACGGCTTGCTGCGGCGCGGAAAAGAAGCTGTTGGTAAACTGCTCGCACCGACCGCTGAGGCACAGGTTTATGATCGACGATGCACACAGTATCCAATTTCAGTCAGCTTGCCCATGCTAGAAGAGAGCCTGTGATGCTACACGAATTCCTTCTCGGCGGGCAGGGTCGCAGAAACGAAGCGCGAGGCTCCAACACTCACCAGACACCAGATGTTCAGGCGCTGTTTAGCACGGTACAAAGAGAACCCCAAGCCAATGTCAGACTGCAGCGGAATGGGCATGCAAAGTTCTCGAGCCCTTACGAGCACATCACCGTCAAACCAGCATGGCACCTATAGTCTCCATTGTAGTTCCTTTTTTTGGTTTAACCAATATTATATTAAGGATCCTATAAGGCAACCCCAAAAAGGAACTACAATGGAGACTATAGGCAGTGTGTCTCTTTGCGGAAGTCCCGTAGAAGTCCTCTCGGTCCCAGGTCCGCCGAGCGATCTTCCGTGAGAAGAGCAGCGCATTGTCTCAGCTCCTCCTCGGCCTCAGTTCTACCATTGTCCTACCCTATGCCCTAGGGACTCTTTAAAAAAAGCGCTACAAGCGGACTCTGTGCGATTTTTTCTGGAGCGACTCCTTTAAATTCTCTGGGCTTCCGTCCTCGACCTCTGTAGGCTTTCGAGGAGGTGCAGAAATTCACGGTAGAGTTTCTGGCTCAAGAAATCTTTCTTGCTGCGCCCTTGATACAAAGCCCCACATGTATGCAACGCATCAACAAGCGTAGTTGCGCGCTGCCGAAAAGCGAGCAGCCGAGAAACTGGCACTTGAGCCGGAAGACATCCACGCAAGAAGTGTCGTGCCTCTCTCGGTCTGTGCTGAGCTGCCTCCATCTGCGGGTTAGGGCAGCGGTTGTGATTCCGTTTAAGACTGGCTCTAAGCTTTGGAACTTTTTTTTCGCAATTCGAGGGCTTTTGTTGAGGCACGGAGAGCCTTTTAGCAGAGGTTTCGTTTGGGCAGCGGCCCAGGCCTCTGCTTTGCGGAATCGCGGAAAGAAAAGCGCAATGGTCATTAAGGCATGGGACGCGAGAGGGGTCCAGGAAAAAACGGCAGCACAGGGCGAGTGTTCGGCTGATGGCTCGTCTCACCCGTTCCAGGAGGCTTCTTCCGCTTCGCGCAGCCATGAAATGGAGTGAGATGCGCTAGAATCACAGGCTTGGTACTCGTAGCTGTCCTTAATCCGCCCGAGGTCGCGGCGAGCGCAGAATTAAGTACATGTCGTGCGAGTACGGTAGACTGCTGCGGTATGGGACACTGCACAGGCAGCGGGTTGAAAGTGAAGCCCCCGAACTTTGAGACAGTCCCTTCAGTTTCCGCCTTCCCCTGACCAGACGATACCCTAAGCCCGAAACTCAGCTCCCTCAAGTGTCAAGTCCCAGCAGCCGAAGATCTTCCGGGAGAAACTAGATTTTCAAAGTGCCAAGCTCCTTGCAGGAGCCTTCCCTTCGCTTTCGCAGGACTGGAAGGGATTTACTTGCACATGCTGTGCATGATGGCGAGACACCTCTCCTAGCTCATCGCGAGCCATGGGGTGCATAGCCTCCATCCAGCACGACGGAAAGATCTACAGAAGTAACTTGACAGCTACAGCTGACTCGACGAGAAGAAGACTTAGTGCAACGCTGCTACTGCTATGTTATACAGATTCTCACAACGGTGATGCAACACAATCCAGATACAGAAGCGCCTGGCAGCGGAGAGCGTTTCCACATTGACATCCAGGCGTTGACTTGCACTCACATGGGCATGTACAGACACAGGTATGCGCCAGTGAGAGCATGGCATGTCAGTGTCAGCTCCGGAGTCAGAGAGAGTACCTATAGTCTCCATTGTAGTTCCTTTTTGGGGTTGCCTTATAGGATCATTAATATAATATTGGTTAAACCAAAAAAGGAACTACAATGGAGACTATAGGTAGAGACACTGGCCGGTCCAGAAAGTTCAGCTCCGGTCAGTAGCCTACCCTAAAATTAAAAGGGACCCTAATGCGGGTTATAGTACTTATCTAAACCCTAAACCCTAAACCCTAAACCCTACTGTTCATCCACATCTTAGGTTGTTCTGAAGTGCCTAGTCGTGCTTGTCCAGAACGGCTTACCCGTCGTCGCCGACATATGTCGATATTTTTGGGAAGGTGTCCCTCTCATGATGTGCCTTCTGCAAAAACCGTCCGTGGCACCATGGCTATTCTCGGCTTCTTCTCTCTCACCATTTTCACTCTGCATTGAGGCCTTCGGCCTTGCGTCGAGGCTTTAGTCTCGCGTTGTCCTGTGTCGAATGATATTCTATCCCCCGCGAAGCCTTGCCAGTCGCTGCTTGGCGAGGAGCTGCCATGCTTGAAGAGCCAGGGATCAACTGTCGCAAGGAATGCCAGCAGATTCAGAGAAGGGGCCTCATTTCCGACAGCTCTGATCTCCCGTTTGTGGTGCACCCGGTGGCCTGAGGTCCCATCTGTTCGGACTCGGGTTTACTGAAAGTTTACTGCTGATGCGTTTCGCGTGGCAGAGGAGATGGCAGGGCAGCCGTTGCCAGCCGGCCTCCCGGATACGCCGATGCATGAAACAGTGTGAAATCTCCCTGTCCAGACGTAGAGCAAGTAGAGCAGGTCAAGTTCATGCAAGACTAAGGCCGGACCGGATAACCTCCCCACTACATACCACTTTAGGGTTCCTTTTTTTGAACCCTATGATAGATCCCTTATAGTCCTTGTGTAGTAGTATCGGGCGTTAATGGGCTCTCGCGTGCAGGTCCTTCGCGTAGCTTCGCCTTCCCGCGGCCGAGCAGGCACATGATTTAGGGGTTTCTTGAAGGGGTACTATCAGGGATCCCACAAGTTGCTGTAAGCGTAACTATCGTGAGTGATTATGCGGGTCATTCTGAGTCACTATACGGGTCATGTTTAAGGGTTTCTTTTTTATTATGAGCTTCCCCAGAAGGAAAGTTATAAGTTACTATTGAAAGTACGAAAGGCGTTACCATAAGTCACTATACGGGTTGTCCTTCAGGGTTTTTTTCGCTACTATATGGGTCACTTATGAAGGAACCCTGCAAGCCCTGAACGCCAATCGACCCTGAAACGAGCTCCAAACCTGAAACCCCGAACCGCAACCGTACCATTCAGGGAATCCTCAACCCTAAACCCTAATAGCCCTTAAGGGAACCCTGCTATAGAACCTTTTTCTAAAACCCTTAAAAAGAACCTTCTTCTACAACCCTACAGTGCCCTGAAACGGGGATCCTATCGAAGGTTCCGTTGTGTTATGATTTTACGGCTGTGGTGAGAGAGCAACGGAGGCCGTTTGCAACTCACATAGCTGGTCTTTCGCTTGCAACATCTTGTGACCTCTATAGACATGCCACCATGCCCCTTGCAGAAACCCTTGTTTATATTTGCCCAATGGAGAAAGGATCTGGGCAGGAGTGCCTTCACAGGCTGTCATGGGATCCAACCGCGTGCAGGAGTGAAAACGCATACGTCTCTTGTTTGGGGTCAAAGTTTTTTCACAGCTCTTTGCAGCAAGCCTCCCCCGTACAGTTCTACGGCTGCAACCACATGAACCACGACGACTGCAGGCTGGGTCAGCATTCAGGCCTGCACAATTTCAATCTTGAGTCTAGAGCCTAGAGAGATCTCAGGTGTTGCCGTTTTCAAATGTAGTGACAGCCACTGCGGGATATGAGGCTTCAATGTGCATCAGGCCAAAGTCAACATGCTACCTCGAGGAGGATATGAAAGAATGAATGTCCGTTGCCATTGGCTCTGCATGAGCAAACAGGTTTAAAGCGTCCCGGCAAGCCTGTTCACCCTGTGGAAAGTGTGCAGCCTGAGCATGGCGAACTGCTTTGGATCCCCGACTCGCAGGACTCTTGCACAAAACGTTGAAACTGCCGCTCTGTCGTTCGGGCTTCCCCTCCACAAGACGTTGAGTGAACACCTTCAGCAGGTACGCCGTCAACATGCATGCTACAGTACATCAGTTGTGCGCGGCACTTCCCAGTCACCGGAAGTCGTTTGAATCCCTCAGCACTTCGACTGCGCATGGCACAGACAATCGAGGAAGGAGAAGAAGGCCACAACAGCCCTGGTGGAGCACGCCAAGGACTTCAAAAACCAGAAGCATGATGAGGAGCTGCAGGCAGGAGCATTTGCAACTTCTGGTCAAACTGATGTTTGACAGCCTATGCTGCAGGCACATTTTGGTGCCTGGCTAGCGGCTAGTCCTCACGGGTGTACAAGAGTGGAGTAGAGGAGAGTATGATATATTAGTGTAATATAGTATGGTATGGTATGGTATTGTCTAGTCTAGCCTAGCCTAGCCTAGCCTAGCCAAGCTCAGCCCTTGGCTCTAGCCAGGTTGTTGCCCGGAATGCTGGCACAATCCCGTAGCAGTAATAGCAGCAGCGGTGGTGGTGGTGGTGGCAGCAGCAGCAGCAGCAGCAGCAGCAGCAGCAGCAGTAGTGATGGGAATATTATTCTACTACTACTGTTGCTGCTGCTGCCGCTTCTGCTACTACTATCACTACCGCTACCAATGGCACT